TTGAAGAAGTGAGTCCAAGATCTTATAATGTCAAAACAGAAGATGGTCAAGTCCTCAGAAGAAATCGACGGAGTCTACTAAAAACACAAGACACCTGGCAGGAACAGACAGAGGAAGATTCTGAGGGAGATCCAGCCTCCACCACATCAGAGGATCCACTGCCAGATGATCACCAGAGGGCTGTAGAGACTGACTTGCCAGTGCTGAGAAGATCATCGCGCCCTGTCAAAGCACCTGACAGGCTGAATCTATAAGGACTATGAGCTGTATCCTTTTCAGTGAAGCTAGAGTTCATGTTTATGTTGTTTATGGAGTAATGTTAAGCTGAAAAGAAGAAGAAAAAAATCAATGGGTTCATAGTCATATGTGAGTGTTAAAATAATATAAAATACTTGGTGTGTGATGTTTTCATCTCAAGAAAAAGGGGGATGTAATGATAAGTAATGTTAAGTTAATGAGTTGCAGTTCTACCCCCTGCCACCAGAGGGCTGCAGATATAATGTATTCCCCGGATGTGTGTAGGTGTGTTAGAAGTCATCACGGACGAATAAGAGTGATGACAGCGTACCTGTATGGATGCTTACACCATCGTTAATAAACGTGTTCAGTGAAGAACCCAAGTTTCTTTATTTACTTAAGAAACATTACATGGTACCAGGAGTGGTCCAACAGATGTCATGGAAAGTGTGAAGCCGCCTGAACCTCTGAATTGGACGGGAAATGTGGACTGCGAGTGGCGAACGTTTAAGCAACGATTTAAGCTGTATCTGCAGGCACTGGGCCTGGACACAAAGCCAGACGCGCGGAAAATAGCACTGCTTCTCACCGTCGCGGGACCTCAGGCTGTGGAGGTATATAATACGTTCATATTTGCTGAAAGGGATCACCAGGAACAGTTCGACAAGGTTGTGGAAAAATTTGATGAACACTGTTCACCAAAGAAGAACGAGACCTTCGAGCGGTATGTGTTTCGATCCCGCATGCAATTGCAAGGTGAAAGTTTTGATGCTTTTGTGACGGACTTGAAATTGAAAGCAAGAACATGTAACTTCGGAGACTTGAAAGACTCAATGATTCGTGACCAAATAGTGTTCGGAGTGATCGAAAAAAAAATGAGAGAGAGGTTACTACGGGAGCCTGAACTGAAGTTAGCTGATGCTATCAAAATTGGCAACGCCAGCGAACTTGCTCAGCAGCATGCAAAAATATTTAGCGGTCAGAAGGATCAGGAGAGTGCAACGACGCACGTGGCTGCAGTGCATAAGCAAATTCAAAGACAGAAAAAACAGAGTAAACCACAAAAAGACACAGAGACATTTTCCTGCAAAAGATGTGGCAATCAGCATGCACCTAAACAGTGCCCTGCATTTGGCAAAATGTGTAGCAAATGTAAAGGAAAGAATCACTTTGCCAAGCAATGCTTTTCAAAATGGAAACAGAGTGGCAGTGATCGAGTCCACACAGTGGAGGAAACGGAGCTTGCTGATTCGTTCTTTGTCGGCATGGTAGCGCAGCATGAGGATGGCATGGCAGCACAGCCAAAAGACATTGGACAGTGCACAAATGCAACCTGTGCTGGAAAGGACAAGTGGAGTGTGCCACTGGAGATAAATGGTGCAGTCATTCCGCTGAAGTTAGACACAGGGGCAAAGGCCAATTTGATCAGTGAATGTGACATCAGAGCAATGAAGGTGAGACCACGCATCCATCCCAGCCCAGTGAAGCTCAAAGCCTACAATGGACACAACATTGACACAAAAGGCACATGCAAACTAAAAGTGAAAATTAAAGAAAAAGAGCATCACCTTATGTTTGTAGTTGTTCCGGATGGACATGACTCATTATTAGGTGACACTGCATGTGAAAATTTAGGCTTAGTGAGGAGGGTGTACTGCATTAACAATGTCAATAGCCAGACCAGTGTGGAGACAATAGTGAACCAATACCCAGACATCTTCAAGGGGTTTGGAGTCTTACCATTCACCTACAAGATACAACTGAAGGATGATGCACAGCCAGTCGTCCATGCTCCCAGGCGCATTCCAGCTCCCCTACGAGGAAAGCTGAAACAAGAACTGGATAGAATGCTGTCATTGGGTGTGATAAGGAAAGTAGAAGAGCCAACAGAATGGGTGAATTCGATGGTGTGTGTCAGAAAAACGAATGGAGAACTACGTGTGTGCATGGATCCAAAAGATCTGAATAACAACATAAAAAGAGAGCATTATCAAATACCTACCAGAGACGAGATAACAAGCGAGATGGCCGGTGCCAAATACTTCAGTAAATTGGACGCCTCTCAAGGCTTCTGGCAGTTAAAGCTGCATGAGGACAGTACAAAGTACTGCACTTTCAATACACCGTATGGGCGCTACTGCTTCCAGAGAATGCCTTTTGGCATATGCTCCGCTCCAGAAGTATTCCACCGAACAATGGAGCACATCATAGAGGGCATTGAAGGTGTACGTGTGTATGTTGATGATCTGATCTTATGGGGATCTACTCTTGAGCAACACAACGAAAGGCTCATCAAAGTGCTTCGGAGAGTCCAGAAGTACCAGCTGAAGCTGAACAGATCGAAGTGTCAGTTTGGTGTGAACGAAATCACCTTTCTTGGTGATAAGTTGTCAGCAGCCGGTGTTGAACCGGATAGAAGCAAGATCAAAGCAATACTGGACATGCCAAGACCTGAAGACAAAAAAGGTGTGCTGCGGGCACTAGGCATGATCAATTTCATTGGAAAATTCATACCAAACTTATCCTCCAAGACAGTGCACTTACGAGAGCTACTGCGTGACAGGTGTGAGTTCAAGTGGACATCTGAACATGAGGCAGAATGGTCCCGTCTGAAAACTACTCTCACCACAGAGCCAGTGTTGACGTTTTTCGATCCATCAGAAAGGATAAAGATATCCACCGACTCATCAAAGGATGGCATTGGAGCCGTTCTGCTGCAGACATCTGGAGAAGACTGGAAGCCCGTCGCCTATGCGTCGAGAACGATGACAAGTGCTGAGTGCCGCTACGCTCAAATTGAAAAAGAGTGTTTGGGACTGGTGTACGGTTTCCAGAAGTTTCATGGCTATGTGTATGGCCTACCAAAGTTTGTAGCAGAGACAGACCACAAGCCGTTAATAGCCATCATCAAGAAAAACCTCAGTGAAATGTCACCACGCATTCAAAGGCTCATGATGAAGCTACAACGTTATGATTTTGACCTGATTTACACACCTGGAAAACACATAGTGGTAGCTGATGCTCTGTCTAGGGCAGTCACACAGAGCGAGGAGCATGACGAGTGTTCCACGGAAAAGGAAGTGAATCTTCATGTAAACCTGATCACTGAGACACTGCCCATGTCTGACATGAAATCCAGGCTGATCGCGGATGAAACAAAGAAGGATGTCGGTCTGCAGAGAGTCATCCAGCTGATGAATGAGGATTGGCCACGGGGTGAGTGTCAACAATATTACAACATTAGAGGGGAGCTGAGTTTGGTTAATGGACTGCTGTTGCGGAAGAACAGAATAGTCATTCCTCAGTCTCTGAGACCAGACATGCTTAAAAGATTACATGAAGGGCATCTAGGAATGGAAAAGTGCAAGAGAAGGGCTAGAACCTCGATCTATTGGCCAAGCATAAATGCTGATATAGACAGGATGGTGTCAAGATGTGCCACATGTCTAAAACATCAAGCAAAGCAGGCAAAAGAGCCCATGGCAATCACAGAGATACCTGACGAGCCCTGGCAAAAAGTTGGGACTGATTTGTTCTACTTGGATGGAAAGAATTACCTGCTGGTAATCGACTACCTATCCAACTATCCAGAAATTGCACTGCTTCCCAACATGTCAGCGGCCTGTGTGATTAAGCACATGAAATCTATCTTTGCCAGACACGGGATTCCTCAAGTTGTGTACAGTGACAACGGTCCCTCCTACAGCTGCAAAGAATTTCAGGATTTTGCGCAAGAATATGACTTTTGTCATGTGACTTCGAGTCCCCTGTATGCCCAATCAAACGGAAAGGCAGAGAAAGGTGTGCACATAGTCAAACAGCTGCTCAAGAAAGCACAAGAAAGTCATTCAGATCCATACTTAGCTCTGCTGAGTTATCGAGCTTCGCCTCTTGAGCATGGCCTGTCCCCTGCAGAAATTCTTATGGGACGCAGATTACGCACTACACTTCCCCACACCTCTGAACAGAAACAGAAGGAAGTGAAACAAAAACAAAAAGATCTTCAAAAGAGACAAAAAGCAAATTATGACAAGTCAACAAAAAGCTTAGTACCACTGGCTAGGCATGACACCGTGAGAATACATGATTCCAGCACCTGGAGCAAGAAAGCAACAGTTCTTGAAGAAGTGAGTCCAAGATCTTATAATGTCAAAACAGAAGATGGTCAAGTCCTCAGAAGAAATCGACGGAGTCTACTAAAAACACAAGACACCTGGCAGGAACAGACAGAGGAAGATTCTGAGGGAGATCCAGCCTCCACCACATCAGAGGATCCACTGCCAGATGATCACCAGAGGGCTGTAGAGACTGACTTGCCAGTGCTGAGAAGATCATCGCGCCCTGTCAAAGCACCTGACAGGCTGAATCTATAAGGACTATGAGCTGTATCCTTTTCAGTGAAGCTAGAGTTCATGTTTATGTTGTTTATGGAGTAATGTTAAGCTGAAAAGAAGAAGAAAAAAATCAATGGGTTCATAGTCATATGTGAGTGTTAAAATAATATAAAATACTTGGTGTGTGATGTTTTCATCTCAAGAAAAAGGGGGATGTAATGATAAGTAATGTTAAGTTAATGAGTTGCAGTTCTACCCCCTGCCACCAGAGGGCTGCAGATATAATGTATTCCCCGGATGTGTGTAGGTGTGTTAGAAGTCATCACGGACGAATAAGAGTGATGACAGCGTACCTGTATGGATGCTTACACCATCGTTAATAAACGTGTTCAGTGAAGAACCCAAGTTTCTTTATTTACTTAAGAAACATTACATGGTACCAGGAGTGGTCCAACAGATGTCATGGAAAGTGTGAAGCCGCCTGAACCTCTGAATTGGACGGGAAATGTGGACTGCGAGTGGCGAACGTTTAAGCAACGATTTAAGCTGTATCTGCAGGCACTGGGCCTGGACACAAAGCCAGACGCGCGGAAAATAGCACTGCTTCTCACCGTCGCGGGACCTCAGGCTGTGGAGGTATATAATACGTTCATATTTGCTGAAAGGGATCACCAGGAACAGTTCGACAAGGTTGTGGAAAAATTTGATGAACACTGTTCACCAAAGAAGAACGAGACCTTCGAGCGGTATGTGTTTCGATCCCGCATGCAATTGCAAGGTGAAAGTTTTGATGCTTTTGTGACGGACTTGAAATTGAAAGCAAGAACATGTAACTTCGGAGACTTGAAAGACTCAATGATTCGTGACCAAATAGTGTTCGGAGTGATCGAAAAAAAAATGAGAGAGAGGTTACTACGGGAGCCTGAACTGAAGTTAGCTGATGCTATCAAAATTGGCAACGCCAGCGAACTTGCTCAGCAGCATGCAAAAATATTTAGCGGTCAGAAGGATCAGGAGAGTGCAACGACGCACGTGGCTGCAGTGCATAAGCAAATTCAAAGACAGAAAAAACAGAGTAAACCACAAAAAGACACAGAGACATTTTCCTGCAAAAGATGTGGCAATCAGCATGCACCTAAACAGTGCCCTGCATTTGGCAAAATGTGTAGCAAATGTAAAGGAAAGAATCACTTTGCCAAGCAATGCTTTTCAAAATGGAAACAGAGTGGCAGTGATCGAGTCCACACAGTGGAGGAAACGGAGCTTGCTGATTCGTTCTTTGTCGGCATGGTAGCGCAGCATGAGGATGGCATGGCAGCACAGCCAAAAGACATTGGACAGTGCACAAATGCAACCTGTGCTGGAAAGGACAAGTGGAGTGTGCCACTGGAGATAAATGGTGCAGTCATTCCGCTGAAGTTAGACACAGGGGCAAAGGCCAATTTGATCAGTGAATGTGACATCAGAGCAATGAAGGTGAGACCACGCATCCATCCCAGCCCAGTGAAGCTCAAAGCCTACAATGGACACAACATTGACACAAAAGGCACATGCAAACTAAAAGTGAAAATTAAAGAAAAAGAGCATCACCTTATGTTTGTAGTTGTTCCGGATGGACATGACTCATTATTAGGTGACACTGCATGTGAAAATTTAGGCTTAGTGAGGAGGGTGTACTGCATTAACAATGTCAATAGCCAGACCAGTGTGGAGACAATAGTGAACCAATACCCAGACATCTTCAAGGGGTTTGGAGTCTTACCATTCACCTACAAGATACAACTGAAGGATGATGCACAGCCAGTCGTCCATGCTCCCAGGCGCATTCCAGCTCCCCTACGAGGAAAGCTGAAACAAGAACTGGATAGAATGCTGTCATTGGGTGTGATAAGGAAAGTAGAAGAGCCAACAGAATGGGTGAATTCGATGGTGTGTGTCAGAAAAACGAATGGAGAACTACGTGTGTGCATGGATCCAAAAGATCTGAATAACAACATAAAAAGAGAGCATTATCAAATACCTACCAGAGACGAGATAACAAGCGAGATGGCCGGTGCCAAATACTTCAGTAAATTGGACGCCTCTCAAGGCTTCTGGCAGTTAAAGCTGCATGAGGACAGTACAAAGTACTGCACTTTCAATACACCGTATGGGCGCTACTGCTTCCAGAGAATGCCTTTTGGCATATGCTCCGCTCCAGAAGTATTCCACCGAACAATGGAGCACATCATAGAGGGCATTGAAGGTGTACGTGTGTATGTTGATGATCTGATCTTATGGGGATCTACTCTTGAGCAACACAACGAAAGGCTCATCAAAGTGCTTCGGAGAGTCCAGAAGTACCAGCTGAAGCTGAACAGATCGAAGTGTCAGTTTGGTGTGAACGAAATCACCTTTCTTGGTGATAAGTTGTCAGCAGCCGGTGTTGAACCGGATAGAAGCAAGATCAAAGCAATACTGGACATGCCAAGACCTGAAGACAAAAAAGGTGTGCTGCGGGCACTAGGCATGATCAATTTCATTGGAAAATTCATACCAAACTTATCCTCCAAGACAGTGCACTTACGAGAGCTACTGCGTGACAGGTGTGAGTTCAAGTGGACATCTGAACATGAGGCAGAATGGTCCCGTCTGAAAACTACTCTCACCACAGAGCCAGTGTTGACGTTTTTCGATCCATCAGAAAGGATAAAGATATCCACCGACTCATCAAAGGATGGCATTGGAGCCGTTCTGCTGCAGACATCTGGAGAAGACTGGAAGCCCGTCGCCTATGCGTCGAGAACGATGACAAGTGCTGAGTGCCGCTACGCTCAAATTGAAAAAGAGTGTTTGGGACTGGTGTACGGTTTCCAGAAGTTTCATGGCTATGTGTATGGCCTACCAAAGTTTGTAGCAGAGACAGACCACAAGCCGTTAATAGCCATCATCAAGAAAAACCTCAGTGAAATGTCACCACGCATTCAAAGGCTCATGATGAAGCTACAACGTTATGATTTTGACCTGATTTACACACCTGGAAAACACATAGTGGTAGCTGATGCTCTGTCTAGGGCAGTCACACAGAGCGAGGAGCATGACGAGTGTTCCACGGAAAAGGAAGTGAATCTTCATGTAAACCTGATCACTGAGACACTGCCCATGTCTGACATGAAATCCAGGCTGATCGCGGATGAAACAAAGAAGGATGTCGGTCTGCAGAGAGTCATCCAGCTGATGAATGAGGATTGGCCACGGGGTGAGTGTCAACAATATTACAACATTAGAGGGGAGCTGAGTTTGGTTAATGGACTGCTGTTGCGGAAGAACAGAATAGTCATTCCTCAGTCTCTGAGACCAGACATGCTTAAAAGATTACATGAAGGGCATCTAGGAATGGAAAAGTGCAAGAGAAGGGCTAGAACCTCGATCTATTGGCCAAGCATAAATGCTGATATAGACAGGATGGTGTCAAGATGTGCCACATGTCTAAAACATCAAGCAAAGCAGGCAAAAGAGCCCATGGCAATCACAGAGATACCTGACGAGCCCTGGCAAAAAGTTGGGACTGATTTGTTCTACTTGGATGGAAAGAATTACCTGCTGGTAATCGACTACCTATCCAACTATCCAGAAATTGCACTGCTTCCCAACATGTCAGCGGCCTGTGTGATTAAGCACATGAAATCTATCTTTGCCAGACACGGGATTCCTCAAGTTGTGTACAGTGACAACGGTCCCTCCTACAGCTGCAAAGAATTTCAGGATTTTGCGCAAGAATATGACTTTTGTCATGTGACTTCGAGTCCCCTGTATGCCCAATCAAACGGAAAGGCAGAGAAAGGTGTGCACATAGTCAAACAGCTGCTCAAGAAAGCACAAGAAAGTCATTCAGATCCATACTTAGCTCTGCTGAGTTATCGAGCTTCGCCTCTTGAGCATGGCCTGTCCCCTGCAGAAATTCTTATGGGACGCAGATTACGCACTACACTTCCCCACACCTCTGAACAGAAACAGAAGGAAGTGAAACAAAAACAAAAAGATCTTCAAAAGAGACAAAAAGCAAATTATGACAAGTCAACAAAAAGCTTAGTACCACTGGCTAGGCATGACACCGTGAGAATACATGATTCCAGCACCTGGAGCAAGAAAGCAACAGTTCTTGAAGAAGTGAGTCCAAGATCTTATAATGTCAAAACAGAAGATGGTCAAGTCCTCAGAAGAAATCGACGGAGTCTACTAAAAACACAAGACACCTGGCAGGAACAGACAGAGGAAGATTCTGAGGGAGATCCAGCCTCCACCACATCAGAGGATCCACTGCCAGATGATCACCAGAGGGCTGTAGAGACTGACTTGCCAGTGCTGAGAAGATCATCGCGCCCTGTCAAAGCACCTGACAGGCTGAATCTATAAGGACTATGAGCTGTATCCTTTTCAGTGAAGCTAGAGTTCATGTTTATGTTGTTTATGGAGTAATGTTAAGCTGAAAAGAAGAAGAAAAAAATCAATGGGTTCATAGTCATATGTGAGTGTTAAAATAATATAAAATACTTGGTGTGTGATGTTTTCATCTCAAGAAAAAGGGGGATGTAATGATAAGTAATGTTAAGTTAATGAGTTGCAGTTCTACCCCCTGCCACCAGAGGGCTGCAGATATAATGTATTCCCCGGATGTGTGTAGGTGTGTTAGAAGTCATCACGGACGAATAAGAGTGATGACAGCGTACCTGTATGGATGCTTACACCATCGTTAATAAACGTGTTCAGTGAAGAACCCAAGTTTCTTTATTTACTTAAGAAACATTACATGGTACCAGGAGTGGTCCAACAGATGTCATGGAAAGTGTGAAGCCGCCTGAACCTCTGAATTGGACGGGAAATGTGGACTGCGAGTGGCGAACGTTTAAGCAACGATTTAAGCTGTATCTGCAGGCACTGGGCCTGGACACAAAGCCAGACGCGCGGAAAATAGCACTGCTTCTCACCGTCGCGGGACCTCAGGCTGTGGAGGTATATAATACGTTCATATTTGCTGAAAGGGATCACCAGGAACAGTTCGACAAGGTTGTGGACAAATTTGATGAACACTGTTCACCAAAGAAGAACGAGACCTTCGAGCGGTCTGTGTTTCGATCCCGCATGCAATTGCAAGGTGAAAGTTTTGATGCTTTTGTGACGGACTTGAAATTGAAAGCAAGAACATGTAACTTCGGAGACTTGAAAGACTCAATGATTCGTGACCAAATAGTGTTCGGAGTGATCGAAAAAAAAATGAGAGAGAGGTTACTACGGGAGCCTGAACTGAAGTTAGCTGATGCTATCAAAATTGGCAACGCCAGCGAACTTGCTCAGCAGCATGCAAAAATATTTAGCGGTCAGAAGGATCAGGAGAGTGCAACGACGCACGTGGCTGCAGTGCATAAGCAAATTCAAAGACAGAAAAAACAGAGTAAACCACAAAAAGACACAGAGACATTTTCCTGCAAAAGATGTGGCAATCAGCATGCACCTAAACAGTGCCCTGCATTTGGCAAAATGTGTAGCAAATGTAAAGGAAAGAATCACTTTGCCAAGCAATGCTTTTCAAAATGGAAACAGAGTGGCAGTGATCGAGTCCACACAGTGGAGGAAACGGAGCTTGCTGATTCGTTCTTTGTCGGCATGGTAGCGCAGCATGAGGATGGCATGGCAGCACAGCCAAAAGACATTGGACAGTGCACAAATGCAACCTGTGCTGGAAAGGACAAGTGGAGTGTGCCACTGGAGATAAATGGTGCAGTCATTCCGCTGAAGTTAGACACAGGGGCAAAGGCCAATTTGATCAGTGAATGTGACATCAGAGCAATGAAGGTGAGACCACGCATCCATCCCAGCCCAGTGAAGCTCAAAGCCTACAATGGACACAACATTGACACAAAAGGCACATGCAAACTAAAAGTGAAAATTAAAGAAAAAGAGCATCACCTTATGTTTGTAGTTGTTCCGGATGGACATGACTCATTATTAGGTGACACTGCATGTGAAAATTTAGGCTTAGTGAGGAGGGTGTACTGCATTAACAATGTCAATAGCCAGACCAGTGTGGAGACAATAGTGAACCAATACCCAGACATCTTCAAGGGGTTTGGAGTCTTACCATTCACCTACAAGATACAACTGAAGGATGATGCACAGCCAGTCGTCCATGCTCCCAGGCGCATTCCAGCTCCCCTACGAGGAAAGCTGAAACAAGAACTGGATAGAATGCTGTCATTGGGTGTGATAAGGAAAGTAGAAGAGCCAACAGAATGGGTGAATTCGATGGTGTGTGTCAGAAAAACGAATGGAGAACTACGTGTGTGCATGGATCCAAAAGATCTGAATAACAACATAAAAAGAGAGCATTATCAAATACCTACCAGAGACGAGATAACAAGCGAGATGGCCGGTGCCAAATACTTCAGTAAATTGGACGCCTCTCAAGGCTTCTGGCAGTTAAAGCTGCATGAGGACAGTACAAAGTACTGCACTTTCAATACACCGTATGGGCGCTACTGCTTCCAGAGAATGCCTTTTGGCATATGCTCCGCTCCAGAAGTATTCCACCGAACAATGGAGCACATCATAGAGGGCATTGAAGGTGTACGTGTGTATGTTGATGATCTGATCTTATGGGGATCTACTCTTGAGCAACACAACGAAAGGCTCATCAAAGTGCTTCGGAGAGTCCAGAAGTACCAGCTGAAGCTGAACAGATCGAAGTGTCAGTTTGGTGTGAACGAAATCACCTTTCTTGGTGATAAGTTGTCAGCAGCCGGTGTTGAACCGGATAGAAGCAAGATCAAAGCAATACTGGACATGCCAAGACCTGAAGACAAAAAAGGTGTGCTGCGGGCACTAGGCATGATCAATTTCATTGGAAAATTCATACCAAACTTATCCTCCAAGACAGTGCACTTACGAGAGCTACTGCGTGACAGGTGTGAGTTCAAGTGGACATCTGAACATGAGGCAGAATGGTCCCGTCTGAAAACTACTCTCACCACAGAGCCAGTGTTGACGTATAAAGATATCCACCGACTCATCAAAGGATGGCATTGGAGCCGTTCTGCTGCAGACATCTGGAGAAGACTGGAAGCCCGTCGCCTATGCGTCGAGAACGATGACAAGTGCTGAGTGCCGCTACGCTCAAATTGAAAAAGAGTGTTTGGGACTGGTGTACGGTTTCCAGAAGTTTCATGGCTATGTGTATGGCCTACCAAAGTTTGTAGCAGAGACAGACCACAAGCCGTTAATAGCCATCATCAAGAAAAACCTCAGTGAAATGTCACCACGCATTCAAAGGCTCATGATGAAGCTACAACGTTATGATTTTGACCTGATTTACACACCTGGAAAACACATAGTGGTAGCTGATGCTCTGTCTAGGGCAGTCACACAGAGCGAGGAGCATGACGAGTGTTCCACGGAAAAGGAAGTGAATCTTCATGTAAACCTGATCACTGAGACACTGCCCATGTCTGACATGAAATCCAGGCTGATCGCGGATGAAACAAAGAAGGATGTCGGTCTGCAGAGAGTCATCCAGCTGATGAATGAGGATTGGCCACGGGGTGAGTGTCAACAATATTACAACATTAGAGGGGAGCTGAGTTTGGTTAATGGACTGCTGTTGCGGAAGAACAGAATAGTCATTCCTCAGTCTCTGAGACCAGACATGCTTAAAAGATTACATGAAGGGCATCTAGGAATGGAAAAGTGCAAGAGAAGGGCTAGAACCTCGATCTATTGGCCAAGCATAAATGCTGATATAGACAGGATGGTGTCAAGATGTGCCACATGTCTAAAACATCAAGCAAAGCAGGCAAAAGAGCCCATGGCAATCACAGAGATACCTGACGAGCCCTGGCAAAAAGTTGGGACTGATTTGTTCTACTTGGATGGAAAGAATTACCTGCTGGTAATCGACTACCTATCCAACTATCCAGAAATTGCACTGCTTCCCAACATGTCAGCGGCCTGTGTGATTAAGCACATGAAATCTATCTTTGCCAGACACGGGATCATTACATGAAATCTATCTTTGCCAGACACGGGATTCCTCAAGTTGTGTACAGTGACAACGGTCCCTCCTACAGCTGCAAAGAATTTCAGGATTTTGCGCAAGAATATGACTTTTGTCATGTGACTTCGAGTCCCCTGTATGCCCAATCAAACGGAAAGGCAGAGAAAGGTGTGCACATAGTCAAACAGCTGCTCAAGAAAGCACAAGAAAGTCATTCAGATCCATACTTAGCTCTGCTGAGTTATCGAGCTTCGCCTCTTGAGCATGGCCTGTCCCCTGCAGAAATTCTTATGGGACGCAGATTACGCACTACACTTCCCCACACCTCTGAACAGAAACAGAAGGAAGTGAAACAAAAACAAAAAGATCTTCAAAAGAGACAAAAAGCAAATTATGACAAGTCAACAAAAAGCTTAGTACCACTGGCTAGGCATGACACCGTGAGAATACATGATTCCAGCACCTGGAGCAAGAAAGCAACAGTTCTTGAAGAAGTGAGTCCAAGATCTTATAATGTCAAAACAGAAGATGGTCAAGTCCTCAGAAGAAATCGACGGAGTCTACTAAAAACACAAGACACCTGGCAGGAACAGACAGAGGAAGATTCTGAGGGAGATCCAGCCTCCACCACATCAGAGGATCCACTGCCAGATGATCACCAGAGGGCTGTAGAGACTGACTTGCCAGTGCTGAGAAGATCATCGCGCCCTGTCAAAGCACCTGACAGGCTGAATCTATAAGGACTATGAGCTGTATCCTTTTCAGTGAAGCTAGAGTTCATGTTTATGTTGTTTATGGAGTAATGTTAAGCTGAAAAGAAGAAGAAAAAAATCAATGGGTTCATAGTCATATGTGAGTGTTAAAATAATATAAAATACTTGGTGTGTGATGTTTTCATCTCAAGAAAAAGGGGGATGTAATGATAAGTAATGTTAAGTTAATGAGTTGCAGTTCTACCCCCTGCCACCAGAGGGCTGCAGATATAATGTATTCCCCGGATGTGTGTAGGTGTGTTAGAAGTCATCACGGACGAATAAGAGTGATGACAGCGTACCTGTATGGATGCTTACACCATCGTTAATAAACGTGTTCAGTGAAGAACCCAAGTTTCTTTATTTACTTAAGAAACATTACATGGTACCAGGAGTGGTCCAACAGATGTCATGGAAAGTGTGAAGCCGCCTGAACCTCTGAATTGGACGGGAAATGTGGACTGCGAGTGGCGAACGTTTAAGCAACGATTTAAGCTGTATCTGCAGGCACTGGGCCTGGACACAAAGCCAGACGCGCGGAAAATAGCACTGCTTCTCACCGTCGCGGGACCTCAGGCTGTGGAGGTATATAATACGTTCATATTTGCTGAAAGGGATCACCAGGAACAGTTCGACAAGGTTGTGGACAAATTTGATGAACACTGTTCACCAAAGAAGAACGAGACCTTCGAGCGGTATGTGTTTCGATCCCGCATGCAATTGCAAGGTGAAAGTTTTGATGCTTTTGTGACGGACTTGAAATTGAAAGCAAGAACATGTAACTTCGGAGACTTGAAAGACTCAATGATTCGTGACCAAATAGTGTTCGGAGTGATCGAAAAAAAAATGAGAGAGAGGTTACTACGGGAGCCTGAACTGAAGTTAGCTGATGCTATCAAAATTGGCAACGCCAGCGAACTTGCTCAGCAGCATGCAAAAATATTTAGCGGTCAGAAGGATCAGGAGAGTGCAACGACGCACGTGGCTGCAGTGCATAAGCAAATTCAAAGACAGAAAAAACAGAGTAAACCACAAAAAGACACAGAGACATTTTCCTGCAAAAGATGTGGCAATCAGCATGCACCTAAACAGTGCCCTGCATTTGGCAAAATGTGTAGCAAATGTAAAGGAAAGAATCACTTTGCCAAGCAATGCTTTTCAAAATGGAAACAGAGTGGCAGTGATCGAGTCCACACAGTGGAGGAAACGGAGCTTGCTGATTCGTTCTTTGTCGGCATGGTAGCGCAGCATGAGGATGGCATGGCAGCACAGCCAAAAGACATTGGACAGTGCACAAATGCAACCTGTGCTGGAAAGGACAAGTGGAGTGTGCCACTGGAGATAAATGGTGCAGTCATTCCGCTGAAGTTAGACACAGGGGCAAAGGCCAATTTGATCAGTGAATGTGACATCAGAGCAATGAAGGTGAGACCACGCATCCATCCCAGCCCAGTGAAGCTCAAAGCCTACAATGGACACAACATTGACACAAAAGGCACATGCAAACTAAAAGTGAAAATTAAAGAAAAAGAGCATCACCTTATGTTTGTAGTTGTTCCGGATGGACATGACTCATTATTAGGTGACACTGCATGTGAAAATTTAGGCTTAGTGAGGAGGGTGTACTGCATTAACAATGTCAATAGCCAGACCAGTGTGGAGACAATAGTGAACCAATACCCAGACATCTTCAAGGGGTTTGGAGTCTTACCATTCACCTACAAGATACAACTGAAGGATGATGCACAGCCAGTCGTCCATGCTCCCAGGCGCATTCCAGCTCCCCTACGAGGAAAGCTGAAACAAGAACTGGATAGAATGCTGTCATTGGGTGTGATAAGGAAAGTAGAAGAGCCAACAGAATGGGTGAATTCGATGGTGTGTGTCAGAAAAACGAATGGAGAACTACGTGTGTGCATGGATCCAAAAGATCTGAATAACAACATAAAAAGAGAGCATTATCAAATACCTACCAGAGACGAGATAACAAGCGAGATGGCCGGTGCCAAATACTTCAGTAAATTGGACGCCTCTCAAGGCTTCTGGCAGTTAAAGCTGCATGAGGACAGTACAAAGTACTGCACTTTCAATACACCGTATGGGCGCTACTGCTTCCAGAGAATGCCTTTTGGCATATGCTCCGCTCCAGAAGTATTCCACCGAACAATGGAGCACATCATAGAGGGCATTGAAGGTGTACGTGTGTATGTTGATGATCTGATCTTATGGGGATCTACTCTTGAGCAACACAACGAAAGGCTCATCAAAGTGCTTCGGAGAGTCCAGAAGTACCAGCTGAAGCTGAACAGATCGAAGTGTCAGTTTGGTGTGAACGAAATCACCTTTCTTGGTGATAAGTTGTCAGCAGCCGGTGTTGAACCGGATAGAAGCAAGATCAAAGCAATACTGGACATGCCAAGACCTGAAGACAAAAAAGGTGTGCTGCGGGCACTAGGCATGATCAATTTCATTGGAAAATTCATACCAAACTTATCCTCCAAGACAGTGCACTTACGAGAGCTACTGCGTGACAGGTGTGAGTTCAAGTGGACATCTGAACATGAGGACAGCTCAGCCCCTCTCTTCACCCTAGTGTCCAATACATACGGCCGGATGTCAGATGACACAACATTGACCTCCAGCCTAGGGTGTCCTGGTGCCAAGTGCACTGATGGACACCCTTATGCTTGAACATGGTGTTTGTTATGGACAAACTGTGACTAGCACAGAAGTCCAATAACAAAACACCACTTGGATTTAGATCGGGGAGGCCGTTCTTCCCAATCACGCCCCTCCAGGTGTCACTGTCGCTGCCCACGTGGGCGTTGAAGTCTCCCAACAGGACGATGGAATCCCCGGGAGGAGCACTGTCCAGTACCCCTCCCAGTGTCTGCAAGAAGGCTGGGTATTCTACACTGCTATTCGGCCCGTAGGCCGAAACAACAGTGAGGCACCTGTCCCTGACCCGAAGGCGCAGGATAGCGACCCTCTCGCTCAGTGGGGAGAACTCCAACACACGACTGGCAAGCTGGGGAGCTATAAGTAAGCCTACGCCAGCACGCCGCCTCTTACCGCGAGCAACTCCAGAGTAGAAGAGAGTCCAGCCTCTCTCAAGGAGTTGGGTCCCAGAGCCCAGACTGTGCGTGGAGGTGAGCCCGACTATATCTAGTCGGTATCGCTCAACCTCCCGCACGAGCTCAGGCTCTTTTCCCCCCAGCGAGGTGACATTCCATGTCCCCATAGCCAGAGTGGTTGTCCAGGGATTGGGCCGTCGGGGTCTCCGCCCACAACCGCCACCCAAATCACCCAAATCACCCAAGGCACCGGGCCCTTGTGGGCCTTCCTGCGGGTGGTGGGCCCACAAGGTCCGGAGATTGGGCTGGCCACTCTATAACCTTAACTTTGTTGGTCTAGAACCCAGATGCTGCTTGCTTACTGGTGTGTTTGAGGTCGTTGTCTTGTTGAAACACCCATTTCAAGGGCACTTCCTCTTCAGCATAAGGCAGCATGACCTCTTCAAGTATTTTGATATAAGCAAATTGATCCATGGTCCCTGGTATGCGATAAATAGGCCCGACACCATAGTAAGAGTAACAGCCCCATATCATGATGCATGCGCCACAATGCTTCAAGGTCTTCAGAGTGTACTGTGGCTTGAATTCAGTGTTTGGGGGTCTTCTGACTGTCTGCGGCCCTTGGACCTAAAAACAACAGTCTTACAAAATGTTTCTCTATTTCTTTTTAGACCGGTCGATATGTTCTGCTCGATATGGCAAATTGTATCCTCTTCAGCACGTCTTTTTTTTAACAGTGGGACTTTGCGGGGGCTTCTTGCCGATAGATTAACCTCATACAAGCATCTTCTAATTTTCACAGTACTCACAGATAACTTCAGACCATCTCTGATTTCCCTGGAGCTGATTGGCTGAGTCTTTGCCATTCTGGCTATTGTTCGATCCATTCAAATGGTAGTCTTTCGTTTTCTTCCACGTCTCTCTGGTTTGGCTTTCCATTTTAAAGCATTGGAGATAATTTTAGCTGAGCAGCCTATCATTTTCTGTACTTACTATATGTTTTTCCCTCTCCAATCAACATTTTAATTAAAGGACGCTGTTTTTCTGAACAATGTCTGGCACGACCCATTTTCTCAGGTTTTCAGATAGAATTGCATATACAACGTGTGCTGGCTTCATCCTTAAATAAGGGCCACCTGAATGACACCCGTTTCTTCACATAATGAATGACCTCTCTGATTGAACTCCACACTGCTATTTTTTGAACACGCCCCTTTCACTTAATTATTAAATTACACAGACTCAGGCGCATTCATGTCATGAAAGTTGGGTCTGTTGGTTTCTCTGACTCTACTACACCTACTGGTAAATTATTTGCCATGTCATAATATGATTTATACCAAAAACACTGATTGAGCTGGTTAACCCTTGTGTGGTGTTCGGGTCTGTGGGACCCGTTTTCACTTTTTAATAAAAGAAAAATGATATAATTATTTAATTTTTCAAACTGAGACTCACTGGCTTTGGCTCATTTTCTGTGAAGAACATATATCAGAATACATATTTAATGACCACACACCATACACCCCCC